AGAATGCTGGGGTTCGTATTAATTGAAATGGAACAATTTACCCGAAAATTGATTTTTCGACGGGTTCACATGTCAGTCCATATGACCGGAATAAAAGATTTCATCCTTATGATGTTTTCCGAGATATCAAAAATTTAGCCCAAAATTTCGGGACTTATGAATCTGTTCATCTGGCTAATACTCTCCCAACATTTGAGATCACAGAAATAGCTAATTGAATTGGCTTGCTCACGCGATTAAAAATCAATCAAGGATTAGAATGAGCACTAGCACTAGGTATCGTCATCAGCTTAGTTGGGCTGTGAATGTATCACTCATCAAGATCTACCTACCCGAATGGAATCGAGGGGAGAAAAGAGGTAGAGGGATGAAGTCAAAATTACAGGAATTCGCCCTGGATAAATTTCATTAACTGGAGATAAATGAAATTCAATTATTCAATCCATAACGAAATGTCAATAGACGTTTGTCCTTTCTACCTTAAACTCAACGAATGTTATATTCGAACGAAAATTTGGTCCGTGAGATTTGTGGCCTACCCGGTTGCAAATTGTAGGTTGCTGGGAACATAATCCTTGAAAATCGTTGATGCCCAATCACGGTGAGACGCGGACATTTCACATTTCATGAGGATTATATTGGAGAAACTGAAAATCAAACCGATTACATTCGGCGGAAAAATGGGGCACCATTTTTGGTTTTACCACATATTTGACGTTGAAACTTTATGCTTATAAAAAAAGAATAATTTACTATTTGTATCACTCAATTGCCGCCATGTAAAGTCTGTAACCGTATACGTTCGCCAAAGGGCATTTGATGCTCGCGTAAAATTTGTGCCCTTTTTGAAGCCCACTATTCTTGTCGGCGCATAACAAGTTTAGTCATCTGTACGGCCAAGCTGGATTTATGAATATAGAGCTACGGGAAATGTTCATTCACCAAGCACAACGGATTTGGTTTCAACGAGGACATCGTTTCGTAGGTTAGATACGAAAGGGTCCAACGAGGGTTTCTCTCTCTCTTTCTTCAAATCTGTTTTTGTCAACATGTTTTGCGTATCATTTGCTATTTCTCCGGAAAACAAACAGAGCCTGGAAACGGTACCTACAGAACATCAGATGGAGATATTCAACAGACTTACATATTGACTCATTACAGACTATTCCAATAAAACTACGATAACTAAATGACATTTTGTCTTATATGCGGAAACGCTCGAACAGAATATTTTGATTTCCCCTTTGAAGGGTTAACATTTACGTTCATAGCTACTCACAAACTGAATGATTCCATTGGGACATAGTAAATCTTTGAAATCACTGTAAAAACCACTTCCCTCCCGGAATTTCCTCTCATTTTTGGGTTAGACAATAGAAGTGTACTAGTATTGGAAGTTACTGTGATGTATTCCGGTGTTAGGCTAACAAAATCCACTGCAGTAGTTCAGGATGCAGATCAACATAACGTGATTTTGAGGTTCTTTAATATTGTGATACCGCATTTCGAACCATTTGATACAGTTCCATCGCTAACCGGAAGGTTTTATTGTCTCCTAGTGTATCTGTGAATACCATTTAAAAAAGTATTGCATTCTTAACTGAATGCCTTAAGTTATTCATAAAATTGGATAAGAATATATTTTGAATAAAACAATCTTTTTACTAGGCAGCTGTCGAAGGTTTGAGGGTCATGACCCAGAACATTACGTTTTGGCAAAACTTTAGTGTTATGTGCATTCAGCGCTTGGTATCAAACCTACGCTCAGTGGAAATACCGTGCAGCGGATTCATTCAACTTTTTAGATACTACGTTCAATGCTGCTTCATCGAATCTGTTGTGATTCGAGCACGGTCGTAAGTGGTCAGTTGTCTAACCAAAAAACCTATTTCAACTTTCCCCTTCTGAGCGTTTCTCAGTATGCACAATATGAAGCTGATTTACAGCCTGCCCTTAAATGAACAATTCACGAAAAGAGAGAAACTGGATCTTTTGGTCATTTTTGCCCCTCTTCTCGTTGTTCGCCATGCAGCGCGCCTCGAATAACTCTGTGCTCTTTTTCAGGATAATTCGTAAGTGTGATCTGTTGAAACGCGCACTGCTTTGACACACCTATTCGCCTTGATGTATCAAAACTCTAATCCTCTTAAGGTTGTATTTCACTAACACAAAGTCTTAATAATAACGCTTCCATTGGGCGTATGAAGCCGGTTTGTAATCAGTTTATCTCCTCAGAATCCACGATACTTTGATATACTCACTGGTATGGCAAATGCGTCCTTTCGTATGATATATTACCAGGGTAGTGGTTGAGTTCGCCATTTCAATTGGTGATATATTTGAAATCCTGTCACCACGTGACCCATCCAACAGATATTGCTGATCCCCTTTCCCCATTTAAACTTGTGTGTTCGCCTCACTCATCCCCGTATAGCGCTGTTTTCATCTCGGAACACTTATACCAAAGATTCTTTCATGCGGATTAGTAATACAACTCAGCTTTTACTCGATAGTAGTAGCCTTCCAGAAATATTCTTAACAAAAGCAGAAGTGGTAGATGAACAAGTTTAGTTAAGCTTCTTTCTCGTTTGTCCAGATCCTCCGGATTATCGATTTCTTTTTTGGGTCTCAGCTGGTCCCGCAGGTCCGGTTTGCTTTGCTTACCGTTGACCAGTTTTGACTGTTAAGTGACATTCAGAGAAACATTCAGATCGTATTGGTCCTCGGTTTGTATCGAGTTTGTTCCGTTAGGTTCAGCAGCAGGTGTTTCACAAGTTCTTACTACTCGTTTTGGGATTTCAGTAGCATTTTTATTTGCACTTTTGAATAAAACGGGAAAATGTTATTATATATATATTGTTATTATTATTATTTCGAGTTGAATATCCTTTCTGATTTTATAGCCAAAATTAAAACAACTTTAATCCATACAAATCATCCACGATTAACACTGGTAATCTGGTATTTGCAAGGTAACAGACTATTTTATATCTTCCCGTTTCACTTGACCAGGTGTACGCATTCGATGATGACAATGGACCCAACGGCACAGTACACTATTTCATTCAGTCCGGGGACCCAAACGGTTATTTTCTTCTGGACGAGATGAGCGGTGCATTGACTTTGGGCAAAAGGCTACCGAACTACGCTCTGGGTGAGCACACCCTACATTTGGAGGCCAGGGATGGCGGTGAGCCATCGAAATCCGCTACAGCTCGTCTGATCATTGAAGTAGACGAGTCTATTCCCAAAGGTCTCCTCGGACCGGACCTATACGCTTCGCATTCGAATAGCCTGTTTGATTCCGGGTCGGCTGGACACACATTCAATTTGTACATCCTCATTGCGATTGTGGTCGCATCCGCTGTGGTCTCCGCTCTGTTGCTATTTTCCATATTTTTCCTGCTTCGTCGTTCGAGACGTGCCCGTTCGTGTCGTCATGTGGCCGGCTGTGGGAACGGAACGAGAATGACCAAATCAAATTCCACGGATCCGATTACTGACAAGTACAACAGTCCACATTGGCCATTGACTGGCCGCATGACATCACCCACAAATCACATGGATGAAAGGAGACAGTTATATGGTGGTAGGTGATGAACCCATGTGCACAAATCATAAAATTAATTTTATTAAACACATTAACTCTTTAAACTGGATAGGAAATGCATTCAGAACTTGGACCTTAACACACTGGTTCACTGAACGACGGCTTCGTTATCGTCTGACTGAAAACCTTTCAAGTTTTGTGTATTGTGTATAACTTTTTCAAGCACTGGAGCTCACATTTCAGTTAAAAAATCATACAAGCTAATCGTCACAACGTACATAATCAACGGAAAGGGAAGTATTTACAGGCATGGAAACACTTCGTAATCCAAGGTTCAGACAAAGTTCACTAATTGTCCGCTCTTTTTTCATGAGTAGACGAGCAAGATA